ATATAAAAGATTGTATAAAATACTAAAAAAGCAGTAGAATTAAATCTTTTAAAATTTTATAACTATAATTTAAGTCATAAATATCATAATTTTTAATTATAAACAATTCATATGAAGATAATAGCATTTGGGGAATATTCCAATTATGGTATATCAAAGTATGCAAAATCAAACTACAAACAATTTTAGCAAAATGTAACTAATAAATGATGCTGGAGTTTGGACTTAATCATTTAATTTCATAAAATAATATTTTTTTTCAATCTAAAAACAATATTAAACAAAATGTTAAAATATTTAATAAACTAATTTTCAAATAAAGCTAAAATAGTTATCAAGATTGTAAAGCTGAGATAAAACAAAAAAAAAAAAAAAAAACGAGTTAACTTATCGAGAAATAATAAGTAACGATGAATGCTTAATAATTTCTGCTACTGAAAGCAATATTGAAGCTGATATTAGTAGCAACGATAGTGGAAGAAGTATTTGATCGGCTTCTTCAGATTCTTCCTTCATTACATACAATCCTCTCTTCAATAATTGATAAGATTGATCAGTGAATTTGTAATACTTTTCAAAAATCAATCTTTTTTCGATAATTGATAAAATAGATGAATGAATTTGTAATATTTTCCAAAAATCAATCAACTTTTTTGAAATAAAATAAAGGATCAAGATTTGCGAAAGCAAAATGAGAAATGCTTGAAATTTGATTTATTTTTGGATTTATTTATATTATGAATTCAGGATTAGTTGAAATCATTCTGCAACAGAAATGAACAATTCATTCCATCATAAAACAGCAAAAAGCTATGAAAGGAATATAAGGATGGATAAGAGTTGCACATGATTTCATCATTTAAAAAAAAAAAAAAACCTGATTAAATGAAAAGAAGAATTAATGGAAAAAAGTGGTGAGGAGATGAGAAATGAACAGGTAACATATATAGTTTTGTCAGGTATTGTTTCATTCATTCCATTGATATAATGCTCATCATTTCTACTACATCCATCCAACCAGTTCATATTTCTACGGTGCATTTTCATCAATAATACTTAAATTTGAATGGGCATAAAAGACGAGTTCTTAAATTAAAACAAAAAATTTTTTCTTTCAAATTCATTTTCTGTATAAATTTTTTAATCTCAAAAAATTCTACAAAAAAAGATCAATGGAGTAAATGTTACTAACTCATTGAAAATTCATTTCTTTTATTTTAATAATGCATTTTTATAAGGATTTCTTTTTTTTTTTTTTTTAATGGATTAACAAAAATCTTTACAAAAACCTTACAAATGTAGATGTTAGCTGAAGTTAGAACAATTGATATAACTGATAGAAAATTGATTTCCACTATCAGCATGGAAGGTTGGTAATGGAAATGACCAATTTAAAATAATGATTCCAAAACTATAACTAAATTTCAGCACTTCAACTTTTCTTGCTTGCTTTCTCTTCCATTCATTTAAAATAGGAGCATTTCCGTTATCGCATGATAAAACTTTCTTTCGGCACTCCCTTCCTTTCGATTTCATTTTTGTTCCACGGTAAAACATGCATCTTTCATTGTCTCATTCTCGTGATTATCATGGCAAAATTTGACGATTTTTGGGCCACTATACGATTTGGAGACCTTAAGAAGTGTCCTTTGTGTTATCATTACGGCGCTAAGATCATTATCAGCATTTTGTCAGCATTACTATAATCATTATGAGTATAACAAATATACTTTCTAAATGGAATCAAAGCATGCAAAAATTTATAGCATGATGTAAAACTTAACAGAGATTAAGATTAAAGCATTGTAGTGTAATTTTAATCTGATAACAAATCATAGAGATTTGAATTATTCACATCATACGAGAACGAATTTCATTAAGTATATTAATATATACGCTCATTATCCGATTCCAATCATTGCTTTTCTATTTTCATTTCTATGACTTTAAACTTTATGTACGACATTCAGTCTATATATTTATACAAGCCGTATACTATTTCAATTCCAGACCATTGTAATACTTTGAAGGCTGTCAAATATATATAACGTAACCAAGCTCAAAGTATTCGGCTATGGATTATGGGTACATTCCGGTAATGGAAAATAATAAATAATCAAACTGTTTATCAAATTAAGTTCTTAGTAAGTTATATCATACAACAGAAAGCGGCAAAAAATTAAGTTATATCATGCAATAGAGAGCGGCAAAAAATAAAAAATATGCAAAATAATCATATGTCAGGAATTCCAGACTCAAAATGAACTTTCGAGAATCTTTCTCCACCAAAGGAAGCATTTAAATTCAAGCACAGAAGAATTTTAATTGATACCACATTTTCCATTACTTCCTGAAAGTAACTGAAATACTTCTGTTTGAACTGCAAAGACAGAGTTAGCCAATCAAAACTGATAATATTTATTTGACATAAGTAATTTTTTAACGGCGAAAAATACCCAATTCTAAAACAAAAATGTATGGAAAAACACAAAAATAAAGGCGAAAAATACCTTCGCCTTTATTTTTTTCCTGAATGTATAGAAAATTTTAACAATTCTAATGCAACAAATATAATTCGTAAAATAACAAGAAAGTTGTAGTGGGGAAAATAAGAAAATGCTGTAGTGAAAAGTTGGTGAAACTGTACCTACAGTGATATTTTTTAAACCTTCGGAATAAAGTAACATGGAAAATCGATAATATATACCTTCGATACTCAACAATGAAGCTAGTCATAGTAACCTCCTAATGACTGATCACCTAGAAATTTGGCAACATACAAATCATTTTGATATATGTGATTGATAACAAAAATGAATAAAGCACATCCAACGGCTATATGTGCAGCATTGTGCATTATACCACCAACTCCACCGAAAATCTAAAACCAAAATTACTATAACTGAGCTAAAACTTTATACAGTAATTTAATAAAATTTACTCATTAAAATCCAAACAACGGTAGACTTTAATGAAATGATAAAGCAAGTAGCAATGTTTAGCAATGTTATCATAAAAATAAGAAATTTTAATAAAATCTGAATTAAAAATCATGCATTAGACTCTATTTGTAAAAGACCTGGAGTAGGAAACGAGAGTATGAAATTGTGAGCATTCCTTTAGAAATCTATTTCCCAGATAATATAGAAGGAATAATTGATAAATTTCATTTCTTTTTTGCCGACAAAATGGAAATTGATTCCTCATGATATTTTTTAATTCTGATAAACTTTAAAAAACTGACCAGAAGAGAAATTGAAGTTACCACAAGACAGAAAAGGAGAACTAGAATTGTTGAGAAATTTGGGAGTGCTTTCAGAAAACTTATCTGATCGCATGAAAATCGACGAATATGTCTCCAGCTGAAGCGTAAATAATTAGCATAATTCTATTATAACATTTAGTCAGTAAATTTTTCTCAGCAATCTTTTTAATCCAACTTACAGAAAACCGCAACAAAGCAAGCGTTTACCTGTAGGCTATCCGCATTAGCATACTGATTATATTCGCCAATATCAAACCATATGCACCTACAACGTAAGAAAGCAAGGAAGAGAGAAATAATTGAATGGGAGACGAAAGGAATAAATACCAGCCATGTGCAAGAAGCTGAAATTTTTCAATATGTAGAATGTTGATATACCAAGAAGAGAGAATTTATATCCACCTCAATAATTTAAAAAATAAAGAAAAATGCCTAATCGAAATATTGGATTAATGACTGAAGAAATATGGTTAAGCATAATTTGCAGGATTTCAACTAGATAAAACTAAGCAATCCCAATTGTCGCACTCAGATCGACAGCCAAAGCAAGCAATGGATTGACAATTTAACAAGGAGTTATTGCTTGACTACTCATGACATATATTTATGTTTTTTTTTTTTTATCAAACACAGTTAATAAAAGACACATTAATATACCGAGCGGTTTTGAGTAAAGTAGTAAGTAATAACAGGTAAAAAAGGGCAAAAATGGGTAATTTAAAACAATTTTTCACATTAATTGTCTAAATATGAAACCTCTTCTTCGTTCATTGTTGCCATAGCAAAGCACTCAGTGATACCATTGATTGCAATGACAATTATATAGAAACAGTAAAATCTCAGAATATTTGCACCTGTAAATTTCATAGGATATATCTACAACTACTTCATAAAGAGTAAAATTTGGCTGATATTGATTAAATAAGAAAAAAATCTAACGTAACATAAAGCTGAACTACACGTAAAAAATTTTTAAAAAAAAGCAAACAGTGAATTGAAGGAACAGCAGTAATATCTATTAAAAACGACAAATGTCTGGTTTTGACATTACTCGAAATTTTTCAAACACTAATTTCCATATTAATCTCCTCCTTTTCAGAAATGAAAATATAAGCTATTTTAATGCTTCTAAAAAAACTCACCTGCATTATTGATTAATAAAGCGCCACCATATATTTTAACAGCAAGGGGAGAGTAGGGTATTGCAAAAACAAATATTACAGTACCAATTACAATAACAATATGGAGAAGACCATTCATTGCATTAATTCCTTTTTTCATATCATTCTGTAAGCGATGAATGCATATACAATACTTATCTATAATGTTTCGAAAATTTGCAAAATAGACTGCAAGAGTGCATCTATCAAAAAAAATTTGAAATTTGAGAGACATCTTTTGTTCAAGATAAATAATCAAATATAAAAATGTCAGAGTAACTAACACGGCAACTTCAGTTTTTTCAGGTAACAAAGAAAAAGTTCAAATTTTGGCTCCTCTGCTAATTTTACCTCAATTCGATGTTTTGCTGAAGCCGCCCTTCGAAGACAAGTGGAAAAATACAGATAAGCAGAATGCTCAAGTGGTGCGAAAATGATGCGTGCGACCAAACTACCCAATTTGTCGACTGCATCAAAAACCGCTGAGAGAAAAATACGAATTTGTAATACGCTTTTAAAAGTCATTCTTCTCAAAAAATGTTAATAAATAAAGTGTGTTGAACAACTGATAAAAAATTGCATCTACGAAATTCAAATTAAATGTATATATGATTGAAAATTTAACCTTGATCAGATAAAGAAAAAAAATTCGTGAATGCAAGCACATAGCCTGTACCATTTGTAATCACTTGCTTAAAAATGGAATGAATAAGAAAAGCTCCCAATAGAGAACGATTCTGAAATTTTAACTCCAAGTTATTTAATTTCGTTGATAACGTCTATGCAAGAAATTACCTAAAACCATTTATAAGATAAGAAATAGACAATCATGAATTCCAAAGTATTAAAAATGAAAAAGTACCTCTTTTGAGAAAGCTTTTGGAAAACTTGGATAAAGTGACATCACGGTGAAACCACTGACAGATGGTGCGACAGACCGAATGCCAGAAACTAACAGATATATACATAATAATGTATAACAGAAAGATGATAGAACCTGCAAATTACTATAAAATATGACTGTGTACTGATAAAAAGCTAATAATAATTAGTTCAGATGATGATAACAAAAAGTGATTTCTTGTAAAAATGTCTCATTTAAAAGGATAACCAACAAAGTTTTAATTGCATGATTTTCTTTTATTACGCAGGAAAACTTCAAGTATATGATAATGAACAACTTTTTCTCTGAAATTTATACTTCGCTGTTACAGAATTTCTTTATTCCGCTTTACAGTCAGATATATTCAGGTTTTTTTCCCGAAATTTTCTTATCCTTTTCTCGCTAAAAATTATTTTCTATTCTTTTGAACAAACCTGTCCACAGCAGAATGCATGAACGGGTAACATTGGTACCATAATAATTAGAATGAGCACAAAAACTCGCTGCATTATAACCAGAAAACCTTGGGCAAATGCATATTGAGCGTCCATGCCAAATCGTAATGATAATATGACATAAGGTTCAGCGAACGATTCTAACCAAGCAGAAAATGCAAAAACTGATAATGCTACAGCATATGATGGTACCAATGAAGCATCTGGTACAGTAGAAAAAGGTAGCCAAAAACACAGATATAGTAAAACGGCTATCAAAGGACAAACTAACGGCCTAAAATATCGTGTCAAATTAAAATTAGTTTAGAAAAGTTGCAACATCTCTCACTCTCTTAATTAAGAAAATCAAATTTTTATAAATCATTTACAAGTGGTATCACGTAATATAATAAGGGATATTACAAAGTATAGAAAAAAGACTTACGCAAGCCATAAATGTGTAATGACAACCGACAATGGTATTTCATTTGCAAGAAATACTTTCCGAAATGGTTCACGTACCAGAAAAATCGTTGTTGAGTAAAATAACATTAAACTGAAAAAAGAAGAATGTTCTCAAAAATCAAGAATGCAATATAATTTTTTCTAATATGTCCTAATTATTTTCGCTAATTATTTTATTTTCTCCAACTGAACTATATATATATCCTCATTCTTGGTTTTCGGTTTATGGTGTTGATTAAATACTGTGCAATACTTCAAGGGTCAACGTATAAGCCAGTAAGCAAAAATCATGGAAATTAAAATTCTGAAATCAAATTAGTCAAAATCAATTACTTGATATTGACAAGGCCTAAAACATCGCTATCAATTCGTCGCAATAAATACATATTTATGCCGAATGAGAACAGACGAGAAAGCAGCTGAAATTAATAGATGGAATTTACTTCCGTGATCCAATTTTTAATACTTACGCCATAATTATCTACTCCTTCAAATGTTACTGCTGATATTAATTAGAATAAGGAGAAAAATACTAGTGAAAAACTACTGGCTTTAGTTGCTTAATCAGTTATTTATAGAAAATTAATAAGTGCAATTCTAGTATTTAACAGAAATTGATTCAAAATTTAATTTACAACGTCTGAAAAATATAGAAAATATCATAAACCTGTCCGCTAAAATTATGGATGAAAGACGAAACCGGCGAGTTCATTACAGCAATTTAGGATGTATCAATAAGTTCGAATTACATCAACCTCCGTTTCAGCAACATGGCACCAAACCATAACCCCCCATTCGTCAAATAGGAAAAACATTCGCGCAGGATTTTTCCATTGGTTCCGCTAAAACAATCATCACAATCTGAAAAGTATGCAGAATGAAATCCCCTGCAAGAAAAAAACCTCGCAAATTGAAATCCCGAGTTGTGTACTAGAATTCAATCGTTTTAAGATATATTTAAAACCATATTCATATCATTTAGTGGTATGGAAATAATTTTACAATTTTATTTTCAATGCGTAACTCGAAAAGTGTCACACATGACGACATTTACATCTTTTGTAAGCATTTTGTCAATAATACAACTTTCTCTTTTTGTATTTTAGAATATTTTATTTCGATGTATACACTGTGAAAGTGAAATATAGCAACATAATGTGAAAATGAACACCAATGAACACCATCTTAAAATCTTACATTTATAGCAGAACATCGTCCTCGCTTTTGATTCATACACATTACAATAATAGATTTCTTCAACTGATCAAAAGTAATTAGATTTACTGTTATTTACCAATGTTTCTTTTCCAATGTTACTGATATTTTCATAATCAGAACAGAATGCTATTGATAAATGGTGTTGATTGTGAATATAAAAAGTAATCCAAAAGTAATTTGTAAAGTACAGAAGTAATTTTTATAAAGCACAAAAGTAATTTTTAACAAATCAAAGATCGTACATACAATCGAACATTGAAAATGCTCTTATTACATAGGCTCTTCCAAATTGTAATTCTTTTACAACTAAAATTTAGGAAAAAGTGCCAAAGCATTAGTGATTCAAATTTAATGAAAGTGTTTCAATCGGTTAAGGACCGCATGTTGAGATTTTTACACAGATTTTTACAATGATTAATAAAGAGAAGTGTAAAATGATTTTACGGTATGGACAGAATGAAAAAAAGGAAGCATAAGTAGCTACTGAAAATGATAATGAGCAAATTTTTTGTCAAGCAGTAAATTTTGAAGAAAAATTTAGATTTTAGAATTATTTAAGAAGTTTTTTTAAGAGGGTTGAAAAGACAAATTGCAAAGTAAAAAGCAGCAATAATTATACAACGGAATTAACCCCATGCTTGAGTCTTGCTATAATTAATGACTAATTTTGAATCACCGGGTGCAAAACATTCCTTTAAATTCCGCACTGTTTGATCTGGTGATGGCGCAAAACACTGATTGATGAAAAGCAACAAAGAATCACTGTCATTAAGCTGAAATCTTTTAAGTGAGGATGAAATCTTTAATCATAAATTGATTAAGCTCATCAACAATTGCCAATGTAAAATGTATGGCTTTGATAAGGACAGAACTGGAAACTAATTGTATGACTTAAATCGAGAGAGTTTCTCGAAGTTAGTCATGAAAATACATTAAAACGTTTGAGTTGCTATATGTCATTATTTTTTTCTGACCGCTAATGTCTATTGGTGATTCCGCAGCTTGAAAGTATATTTTGGAATGTAAATTCTCTCGCGTACTGATATTTTCCAACACTTGTTACTATGACCTAACAACTTCATTAGTTCAAATTCTGCCTATGGTACAATTAATTTCTGTAGGAAATACTTCGAAATATTATGCAAATAGATATTCAAAAACGAGAAGAAAGTCGGTACCTTCATATAATTTCGCAAAAAAATGCTTAATTCCGCTACCGTCTTCTTTTCATCAACCGTCCATTTATTTTGCTTCAATATTGGCGCATCACCGACTGCTTTCAATAAAATTTCAACTTTTGGACTTTCGGTCATTTCTTCTGATTTTTCGGCAAAATTCCACCTAGAAGAGCAAAAATCACAGTTATTCAGTTGAACAGAATAGCTTGTCTTCTAATGATAACACTTTAACATATATACGCAGATATGATTAAACATTGTGAGCTAATCACAATTTCGCACTTATGACTTTAACTAATCCACTACTAGAAACTAAATATGACTTAATTTGGAATCCGGAATGCACAATTCTGAATTTTGAAATTTTGAAAAAAGTTAATGCTCAAGCTGTAAATTGCAGTCAGAAATAGCATACCTTAGGGAAGATTATACAGTTTGCAAGGTAGAAGGAATAAAAAAGCACAAATACTAAAAACTACACAGTTAAACAGTGATCGTTCCCACGGCTCGAGCATATACAAGCCCGTTACAAGGCAGTATTGCCTATAGTACCACGAAAATATGGAACTATCCTGAAAAAAGTAAATTTAAGGCAATGAATTTCATTTCACTTAACTATGTTCTGCTTTTTTAAAAATATTTTAAAGAATTCAAGACATGTTCTCTAGCTAAACTATAACTAAGTAATTATTTGAATTATTAGTCTCTAATTCATCGCTTAGTTATAATTTAAATAGGAAAAGAAAACGAAATAGTGGTAGTTGTTTTCTACAATAAGTCAACTTGAATCCGAACCTGTATACTATCGTAACAATTTCACTATTCTTTTTCGGGAATTATTATTAATAAAAAAAATATTAGCGACTTTATATCTACCGAGGAATATGTCAGTAACTATGAAGCGCCAAAATACTCGGGGATAACGATTTTTAACTTATGTTATAGGCTACAAACTGTCGTATAATAAAATTACGAGAATATTTTTGCCGTTAGTTCTATTTCATGAGTTATTATGAACAATAACCTTAGCTACGATATTGTCGTGCTCGTTTTGTCTCGTTTCATACATTCAATGAGAAGTGGATAATCTGAAAATCAAATATTCAGTTCTCAAAGAAAAAAACTACCTACAAAAGAACAACACATGAACATACTGCGACTGGAAATTTGCACTTGCCTTGATAGCATCATTAACGCGTACATAGCACAACTGA